TTTCTCTTTAATTCTATAAACAGACATAATTTCTTGTTCATTTTCACTGTTCAAGTCGTGTAATTGCTGTGCCGAGAAAACCGACTAACTTGTCAATCGAAATTTTTTCGTTTTGATTAACCTCTTTGTCACTTTCTTCATGCCTTTATTCATTTAATCGGAAATTGTATTTGACATAATCGAAAGTTCAAGATTACTTTTATAAAATTGCTCTAACAATCTGCAAAAAGATAATAAGCCGGATCCAATTCGAAGATTAAGGAACAATGCAATCTGCAACATTAATTGAAATAGGTAATTTTAGCTTACCGTCCATTATACATTCAATGTGCATGCCTAAATATATTATGCGCATGCATAAAGGTATTGTGGGTTTACGCATGCGCAGAAAGTTTGTAGCTTTGAGGTCTGGATTATAGATCATTCCAAATTAAAGACTTTTGACTGTATATAATTAATCTATTCCAGAACCTTGGATGTAAACCAGATGACCTTTTCCAGCAATAAATAAAAGGGAAAAATTAATCCATTCTTATTAAAAAAATTAATCCATTCTTATTAAAAAAATTAATCCATTCTTATTAAAAAATTCCTATTATTATAGCTCTGTTTAAGGCTAAAATACAAATATAGTGACTGAAATATGTACTGTACGTAAATGAAGCACTTCACATGATATTGTACATAAATCTTTTTCTGATATCCAGATCAAGAGAAATTTTTCAGCATGCTCTAATTCAGCTCCTCTGATAATTGTTTGTTAATCAATTTTACCCACTCCTTTGCCTGATTTAAGAGTGTCTTTGTTTTTCACAATCATAGATAACATCATACTAGGTGTATGGCATGCAGCAGCCAAGTCCCAGACACGTATGCCTTCTTCATGCTTTACAATAATCTCTTTTTGTTTTCCCCATCCATGGTGATCCTAACAGTTTTTTTTTTTTTTCTTTATTATTGCTTGACTCTCATTACCTGTCCTAAAACCCATTGTGAGTGAATTTACAAAAACATTATAGAAAATAGAACTTCTTGTCAGAGTTATAGTACAGGTTGTTTACTGAATAATAGCAACATGCACATTGACACTTATGATCAGTTGTAACATTGTCTCAAAAGAGGTAAACAAGTGTAGTGCATGCAGTTGCTACTCATTGAAATCGAGTCGTATATTGAGCAAAAATTTTTGCATCGAAATACATATAAAAAGTTGGACATATTTCAAAGTGAACATATATCAAGGTACTGCTATAGTTCCAAAATAGTGTTTTAACACAAATCTACCAAAATTACTAAATGTATTTTGTAGAGTGTTTTCAGTGTGTTGTCCTGTTAGAAGATGCATGTATTTTCTTTGAGATACGTTTAAAATTATTATGCAACTGATATAAATTGATTTTCTTGAAGTATCAGCTATTTAAGCACATTTTTATCAAAGTAGTATTTTATGAATTCATTGTTTGATTTGGTACTGATGTTTTACATCAATAAATATACTAAAGTATTTGAAATATTTTATTTTTCTTAGTGATTCTTTTTCTCTGTAAATTACTTGATTATGAGAATATTGTATCTAGCACACATAACCTACAAAATATATATTATTCAAATAAAACAAAATAAATGTTATTCAGTGCCACTCAGCTTTTGTGGAAATCCATGTAAGAAATTCAAGTGTAGTGAATTAAAAAAAAATTTCTAAGCAATAAATATTTAAATATATATCACTGTAACTTACATAATTGTGCTATAAAAATTTTACTAACTAAATGTAGTTATGTTTAGTTATATTTTACCAACTCAATATAATCGGTGTATTTCCTTTTGTTTTTTTCATTGCAGAATAAATAATTTCTGTGCTTTTCTATTAACTGGGCAGTACTTAGCACAAACAACCATTGGTGCAAAATTTAACTAAATGATGGCAACTTTAACAATATGTTAAGTTTCATGGAATAAATGAACTTTTAGTAACAATAATGTATCATGAACTTTTAGTAACAATAATGTATCATGAACTTTTAGTAACAATAATGTAAGTGTTTAATGTGAACAGTATTAAAATTTTGCAATTCAGATGCTTTTTAAATGAAAACAGATAGCTGCATGTATGGATAAGAGATCAAGTGAATGAGTGAACATCAGATAACTGCACAGATGCAGCATCTCTCTGTCTTGCGATTGTGCAGATTAGACATTGCACTGCAGTTTATGATGCAATATAAATTAGGCTACCACATTTGACACTGTGGTATACATTTGGTGATGGTGCCTCATTAACAGAAAAGCACCTTAGTATAGTATTTCATGATGCTGATCAAGGCCAAAATAAGCCTTAAAATTTGAACTGGTTTGTCTAATAGTATTTATCCATTACTGTTTTCCAAGTCATATCTACTTCCTTTTTATTCTGCAAGTTGGAAATATTTATATGGTCTTCCTGTATTCTGTCCATAATCTATGTCATCATCTTGAGTTGGGCAGATGTATATACAGCTATTGAGAAACCAAAATATTCTAATTTACCGTATATACCCACGTATAAGTCGATACCACGTATAAGTCGACCCCCTCCCACTTCGAACATAAAAAATTCGTAGAAAATGAGAAACCCGCATATAAGTCGACCCCCCCCCCCCACTTCCGAAATCGATCGAGAAACTTCGAAAAATTTTTTTATAAGTACTACATTTATTCAAAATCATCTGAGGAAAAAAAGTAAATATGCGATAAAAAATACCTTGGTAAATAAACAAAATCAAAATCCTTCAACGTCCGATTCATGGTCAGATTCGCCAAACATTTCATAGAACTCTTCTGTCGTCATTGGCTCGTCATCATACATATTTTCAGTCTCGAACTCTGTATTGTTACAATCATTACTAGAGCCTTCGTCGTCATTTTCACTTTCAAAAACAGCATCATCTTCCGTGCCGTCTAGTTCGTTGCGAATACAACATATTTTAAATGATTTTATAATCATTTCAGAGGGTATTTCGTTCCAAGCATCTTTAACACACTGAGCAATTAATGTAACATCGGGCTTTTTAATGTTGCCTCCCTTTGTAAATGTTGGTCGACCGGAACTAATCCACTCTGCCCAATATTTTCTAACATTTACTTTGAAGAGCTTATTGAGACAGACATCTAGGATGTCAATCCTCCCGGAATTATGGCCAAAGTCGTTTTTAGGTGTTTTGACATTTCTTCAGAAAAGTGTCCACGAAACAAATCGTATACTAAAAGAGAAGGTTTTTTGAAAGCTGCTCCTGATCTTTTATCCCACACATTTTTAAGCCAATCGACTGTTCCGTCAGCATCCGTCCATCCCTTTTCATGGGCGCGAACCTTTGGTTTAATCGAAACTTACTTTAGTTAAAGTATGAAACTCTGTGATTAGTTCATCACACAATTTAAGTCATGAAATTACTTCAAGTAAGTGACTTATTTGATAAGTTGTCCAATTTGATTGCGGGAAGAAAACAAGAACAATTTAATGGCTGGCAGATATACTCAGATGTTATAATTAACAATTTGTGAAAACTCCCCTGGCTATGATGCTATAATGCAGCATTGCTAATATGCCTATGTAATATGCCTAGGTAAGGAATAATTTCTGATATCATTCTAAGATAGAATTTGTTTAGCATCCAACATGACATTTCAGGTGTTTGATATTCTGTCACCTGAACTTGATGATTTAGCATGTCACTGCATTATACAAAGAAATTTTTGAACTTCCGATTCTTTTAATTTTTATGGCCCCGCGTATAAGTCGACCCCTCCCCACTTTGAAGTCTTTTTTTTGTCCAAAATATATTGACTTATACACGGGTATATACAGTACTTGGTTTTTAATGAATAATTTAAGAATTTTTAATATTATAGTTTTTTTTTCTTGGAATATCTGTAGGAACAGTTGTACTTAGCAAACAAACTGTTAATCTGTCTATGTTTATTAATAAGACTGTATATTGTTTCTTGCTTGAATTGCCCCTTATCTAAAAAACAAATATTAAATTTGTTTAATATGGAACAGTGGGAAAATTACTATCACAAGTCATCAGCATAAAGCAAAATTTCTACGAGAAATTACAACATGAAGAAAATATGTGGACTAACAGCAATGATAGCAGTATTTAGGAATAATTTTTATTCATAACAGTATCTAATTTAATTGCACATAATTTGGAATATGTAAACATGACTAAATCATCTGTTCAAAATAAATTTCTTAAGTCTTAAAAATAAATTGAATGTACAGCCATTAGCTTCGGTTTCTCATCGACTCCCTTGAAATGCAGGGCCCACCAGCAGCCAAGCGGTAAAGACGCTGAACACTGGTAGTTTGGTCCGAGGTTCAAATCCCGTCAACAGGCTGGCTGCATGGGCGTTTTTGTGGTTTTCTTCATGTGTAATGTGTATACGAGCCAGTTTCCCTTAGAAAGTCCCCTATGAAGGCATCCCTCCCTTTAGGCAGATGACCCTCGTATGCTTTGCCATAATTGAATAATCTCAATCCCATCCCTTGAAATGAAATAGCATTGTTCTTTCTGTTTGGAATGATGGCTTAATATATGCAATCAAATGAATTTATTCTCCTAGTTAGATTGCTTAAAAATACAGGTAGATTGTTAATAATATTTTTCTGTTAATTATTAATGTGATTGTTCCTCTTTCTTATGGTTTTCTTTTTTAAATGCTGTTAAATTAACAGTAATTTTGTTCTAACCTGAGATGTCTTCCTCAGTGTTAATCCAGTTAATCGTTAATCTGTTATGTTTTTACTTTTGGAAGTATGAATTTTTTCTTAATTAAGTTTTTTGTAATTAACTTCTTTTTGTGAATTTTATTTTGTAATGAAATTTCTTCATGAAATATTCTAATCGCAAGAATCATTTCAGTATAGTATTTGATTGAATTATAAATGACCCAATGAGTTTCACATTAATAATAATTAAGGAAATAGTAACAATTTTTTTTTTTTTTTCCATTTGCAGTTTGCCAGAGGTAGAGCAACAGAATGCTGCTGGTTTCTGCCATCTGTATCGTGGTGTCACATGCGTTCAGTTTATTGGCAACAGGACTGTGTATGTTAAATCATCACTCAGTCTCAGTCATATGGAAGAAAAATTGACTGCAGCCTTCACTGTTATTGCCACTTCCCATGATGTTTCGGAAGAATGTCACAAGTATGCAATTCCATCTTTATGCTTTTTTGCATTTCCATTATGTGATACTGACAGTCCATATCCAATGCCAAGGCAAGTGTGTAGAGATGAGTGTGAGGTGCTGGAAAGTAATATTTGCAGAATGGAATATTCTATTGCAAAACGACACCCACTGCTCGGACAGCAGAAAATTCTGCCTGTTTGTGAGGAATTGCCTCCTGTTGGATCCAAAGAAAGTGAAACTTGCATGCGTTTGGGAATTCCTAATACTGTTTTGGTGGATAGAGGTAATTTTAAACATTTTTTCTTTAATAAGAACTTTATTCTTGAAAAATATGTGATGCAAATAAGCATGAAATTTGATGATTTTGATGTATATGTTTTTGTGACATGTGAAACAGTGTAACATTTTTAACTCAGTGTCTGAAATACTTTAAATTTCATGTCATTCATAAGAAACTAATTTTTATATTAATTTATATTTTGCATTAGTGTTTCTACATTTAATTATGCATGATAATACAGGGTGTCTCACTCAAAAAAAGGAAGTAACAAGAGGAAAAGAAGCCAAAATTTTCTATGTCATACCTTTATATTTGAGAAATGAAAGTTCATTACAAGAGGTGCTGGTTGTAACATCTCCCATCTGTATACACAGTTCAACATGCTGCTGCATGTTCATGTATGTTGCTGCTAAAGAGTATTGGGTATCACCTGGATTTCATGTTAGATATTCTGACATAACTAGTTGATGTGGCGACAAGGGTTCTATGAGCTCTGTGAACTCTTAGGTTTCAGTATAGCATGACTTGCTGTTCATGGTGTTTTGTGTAACTTGTTTTCTTCTGCTGTGAATGATTTTGGAACATTTAGGTGGTTGACATCTAAACATTCTACTCAAAACTTGGTGAAGAAGATAGAGACAAAGGGAACATTCATTGTCAGACAAGCACAGTGGTGGTGGGGAGACCCACAGTTATCTGAAGAAGGTGTATTTAATGTAAAGACATGACTATTGGCCTCGCACACAAAGTTTGTGCAGTGTTTATCACAGGAATCTGAACTATAGCGTAGAAGTGTCAAAGAGCTGTTAAGAAAGCGGGCCTGTATCTCGACAAGTTCACAGTTCATAAACTGATATAGGCTGACCATGATAAACACCTAGCATACTGCCATTAGTTTTAAATGATTTATTGCTGAAAGACCGGGAATATTGCAGTACATACGATGAAGTGTGGTTTCACTCGCAAAACGCACATTTATGGAGCAGTGACAACTAGCATGCAGTTGTCAAGGGACCCCCTTCATTCACATAACATCATAGCGGCACATAATTGGGCCAATTTTTTTTTACACTATTGTTACCAGTAAAGTGTACCAGGTACTGTTTCATGAACTTGTGAACCAGCTGGATGATGAGTAACTGACGCTGTAAAAAAATTCTTTTGAAGTTGTCGTTACAGATTTTTCTCCCCTGCATTCCATTATGGTTTCTTTTGATGTGAAATTGCTGTTTACTAATGTTCAAGTCGAAGGAGAACTAAATTATCTTGAAATTAGGCTTCGAGAATTTCATTTCACACATACTGAAATTGAAGAGCTAATTTCTCTTATAAAATCTCTTCAAGTCAAACACGCCTTGTTTTCCAAAATAAATATCATCACGAAATTGAGGTATTAGCTATGTATAATCCCCTCAGTCCTGTACTTGCTGACATTTTACATACACTATTTTGAGGTCAAATTATTTTTAAAATTTTTCAATCTCTGGATTTGCTATGTAGATGTCACATTTGCACTTTTTGATAGTAATCAAGAAGATTTATCCCAATTTCATCTATTATGAATTTGTTGATCTAGCCATACAGTTCACTATTGAAATTGAATCTGACAATTCCCTTCCCTTCCTTGATATTCTTATTTGCAATGAATTTGATTTCAGCATTACTGTTTACTGTAAACCCTTTTCTCTTTGTAACCGCCCCATGTTATGTGACCCGGCTAAGCAAATAATGGCTTCTTTTTACTAATATATATGTATTGTGCTCTCAGAATTTGTATCTCAGCTTGCTAATGAACTCAGTTATTTGAGATCAGTTATTGACCGAGGATTTTCTTCCTATGTCATTGATAAAGCCTTTAAAATACCTTTAAAATAATTTCTGCTAAATGTCAAAGAAGACATTCCACTATTAGAAATGGCATTCATAACCTTGTTGGGCTCCCATTTTATACTTCTGTCAGTTGTGAAATTGAATGGATTCTTCAGAAGTTTAATTTTCAAGTCATTTTCTCGGCTATCAATAAAATTCATGGTTTGACTCTAAGATTCTGTTTTTAACTTTGATTCTTGGGGAATTTATAGCATATCATGTCAGTGTGGTTTGAGATACATTGGCCAGACTAAAAGAGAATTAAAGTTTCATATCAAGAAACACAAATCTTATATACCAAAAGGCGAAATTAGCAAATCTTCGATAGCTAATCATTGTTGGAAATTTTTAATCATAACTTTAACTTTGGATCTGCAAAAATGGTTCAAAAAGTTTCTTCAGTTGCTGAATTGGATTTTCATGTGGCTCTTCACATTCACAAAGATTTATCTTGTTTAATCAAGTCCAATCCAGTCCTTCCTAAAGCTTTTGAAAGTCTGTTAACGTAGCTTTTGAATTTCATTAATATTTTTGCCGATAGATGGCGCTACCTTCTTGTTCGCTTTACTGTGAAGCATAAATAGGACTGTTAGGCACACTGCTTTGCTGGTTTCTTTGCTTCTGATGAAGGGAAACCTGTACGCCCTCAAAATTGAAAGTGATCATGAAATTATATGGAATGTTAAGATATTGGTTATATACGTGTGTGTTAACGATATTATATGTTAAATTTGTAGGACTCTCTGTGTTTGAGATTCATGTGATTTGTGTTGTGTCTGAATTCCGTGCAATTTTAAAAGAATAATCTCTCTGGGTCATTTTATTTAGATTAATCAAGTCTTCCTTCAAAAAAACACTATGTTGAAATACTTGTTTTTGTCATTTTTTAGAATTGCTATAATCAAAATTTTTTGATTTATTTCAAATAAAATATGCTTGTTTTATGTGATGCATAAAATTTTTGGTTTTCCATATTTTTGCCAATATAGCCGATTTCTTTTTTTCACTCTTGATTTTATTATGCATTTGAAATTTATTTTAACCTTTTTGGAGCAGATGTGTTTTTAGAATGAATTTTATTTTTTAATTATTGGCCTCAAGTGTTCTAAATTATTATTCAGAATTTTTTAAAACTGCTTCCAGAAACAAATGGAGAAAAACAGTTGATCATGTGAAATTTTGATCTGCTGCCCACAGAAGATCTACGGATTTGCAAGATCTTCTCATTTATTTGCATTAATTGCAATTTTCATTTGTTTATTTATTATTATTTATCATTATATTATTTCTATTTCATTTTGTTTTTTGTCTTTAACTTACCAATCATGAAGGATAAAAAAAAAAGTTTCTTGCAATTTGTTCCCCCTCTCTTTTTTTCTGTATTTATTTTGCAAATTATTATTGAATTAAATATATGGAAAATTTTTTATACTCTTATTTTTATCAAGACCGAATTCAGAAATGTATGTATGAATGGATGTGTTCATGTAAAGAACGTATAGTATATGTAAATATGTTTGTGTATACACGCACACATATAAGCACATACATATATTTCTGAATCCTGTCCCAGTAATAGAGGAGTACATAATTTTCTTTAAATTTCAGGTTAAAATGAGGACCATATTTTTTCTTACTTTTTATTTATATATTTTTATTAGAGGATACTTGCTTTGAAGGAAATGGTGAGAAATATAGAGGTACAATATCCACTACAGTCTCTGGATTAAGGTGTCAGCCTTGGAGCGATCAAATCTTTTACAAGACTGCAGATTATCCAGAATTAGTAGGCGGTCATAGTTATTGTAGGAATCCGGGTGGCAAAGAAACACAACCTTGGTGCTTTACTACTGATCCAAATGTCAGGAAAGAAATCTGCAATGTACCACAGTGTGGTGAGTAAACTGATTTTTATTTGAATTAAATATTATTATTTAAGTTAAGAACATGATACATGATTATTAAAATGATAAATAAAATCATTATTTTGGACCATTTTATTTAATGGAAAATGATTAATTTGTGGAATAATGGAAATTCACTGCACCTTTTCTTTGTGGCAGTGAAATTTGATTTTGATTTGACTTGCGTAGAAATCTCAATTGTGAACATTTGCACATTTGACAGCAGATATCTTCTTTCCTTTTTTTAAATCAAGGCACAGAATTATAATCAAGATGAATTAGGATAAAATAATATTTTAAATTTTAAGCAGTTCCTAAAATATCATTGCAGTAATCATGGTACTGTTTCTTCCATTTTGGTAAAAATCTTATTACTGTCATATTTATTTTATTTTATTTTATTTTTAGTATACTTTTAAAAGTGTTTTTTGTTTCCCATTTGAACTTGACAGCTGCTAAAATTTAGTAGGTAAAATTCAAGATATTGATGCCCGGTACCTTTCTTCTTTTTATTTTTCCACTTGCAGAGTTCCGTATATATTTTACAAGTTTAAAGTGTACACCTCTTTTAGTGTACAAAGATGTATATGTGGTTGCATTTTCCATGGATGAAACTAATTTCCCATAGTTCTCTCTACTTGAACAATCCAATAATTTTTCTTTTCATCTGTTTAATATGCTTAATGATTTTCTGCATTATAATAGGAGTAATTGTAAAAAAATAACAAGGAAGCTTTCTTTTGTACTTATGACAGATATCACCAAAAACCCTTTGTTATAAGAATATACATTTAACTTTTTAATTCTGTGAATATGCTTTCAATTGGCTTTGACAATACTTCTACCTTTTCTTAAAAACCTTATTTTTTCTATTACTATTTCTTCCTTTACTATTATTAAAAAATACAACTAAAAAGCATAATGAAAATTGACATAAAAGATTTAAAAAATTGAAAACTCATGTCTTGGTATTCAAACATGACTTGGTAACATAAACTCTGTAGTATGTGAATATAAAAAAAAAAAAAAAAAAAAAGTAAAAACATGAAAATATTTATGTTTTGGCAAAGTCAGATTTAAATAAAAAATTTAACTTTTGACAAGTAGCAAAATCTATCTTTTAATGTAGTCAAAGATTTACATTTATTATAAAAAAAACAAATTTACTCCCATGTGACAAAAATTACTAGGGATATTTAATTTCAAATTTGCAATTTTTGATGTCATTTTCAACTTGCCTTGAGGGATTGATCAATCAAGTGAGAATAATTCAAGGAAATAAGTTTTAATTGAAGTGCAGGAAAAAATGCGTATAATTCAGTAGGGTGCACAAGGATGTTCTGGCCTCCACATCAAGTTTTTTTACTCATTCAATATATTTCCTTGGCATTTTCATAAGACTGTGTGGATCATGTAAAATGGAGAATGAAGAAGTTTAAAAGAGCAAAACAAATCATGTTTGAAATCAAAGAAGTTCACCTGTGTTGAAGCAAAATGTACTAAAAAGTGAGACCTACATTGCAAAAGAAATGACTTCATGATGCATGTTTTATTAAACATTATTTCTAATGTATAAAAAAATATAAAATTTAAAATTATGCAATATATGAAATGTAAATTAAGTTGTGATATATCTTCTGCAGACTATCATATTTACTTAAAATTAAGACCCCATTCTTTTCTATTTTTTGCTATATTTTAATTTAAAAATTTGATAAGATCTTATAAATGGCTATTTTCATAAAAGAAATTACAGAATGAAGGAAAGGATTTTAATTATCACGCAATAGAAAATAATTATATTATTTAAATGCTAAATAAACTGTTTTGAAAATTACTATATAAATAAACTGTACAAGTGCCACTATTTAAAATACCTATGTCCAGCTGACTGATTTCAGTTTATGCTTCCATTCACCATGCTGGTCACCAATATGCCTGAAAACAAACACATAATATGTTGCCAGCATTTCCCATTTTTTTTATAAACCACAGAAAAATATTGTATTTTATTAGGCACTTTTAGCAATTATGTCATTTATTCTAATTAGAACCATAGATGTTCTCATCTAATTAGGACCATAAATGTTCTCATCTAATTAGAACCATAGATGTTCTCATCAACCTACAGTTTTTATTTTTAAAAAGTAATTCAATATAAGGAGGGGAGGATTTTATGTGTTGAGTAAATGTTATATTTCTAGCAGCTGAAAGCATCTTGCAGAAAAGAGCAAAACATTCTGCTTTGGGGGCCAACTTTTATTTATTTATATGTACGGGTATCCCTTTTATTACACAGTTTCCTACGAACACTGTTTCACTTTTACATTTAAGTTTTAGTAGCCATTTGTAATGGCTTCAAAATCCTTATTCTCTCATGTTGCAATTCTTTTGAAGTTGAGTTGTGCCCATAATTTGCACAGTGTATATTGTGCTCCAAGTATTCAGTTGGTAGATTGCATAAGTTATGTAATTGTGATTTTGAAAGAAACATTTTTTTAAATGGATATGTGTTACTAATTAGCTTTGTTGTTCTTAGTAATTACTGTAAAACTATCTTTCAGTCCCAAATTATGTCTGAAAGTAAGAAAAAAACTTTTAAAAGAAAACTTTTTTTCTTTGGCAGTGAAAATATTAATTCTGAATTGTTTCTTAAAAGGAGAAAAGGAATCTCATGTTCCAGTAAGTCGATTTAAATCACGTAGCAATGAGAACCATTAAAAAAATTGAAAAAGAAATTAAAAAGTGCAATTAACACAGAATCTTCGAGATTCGCAAAATATGCAGCTCATTCCTATGCATCAGTTATTGATAAAATGGAAAGGACACTAGCCATTTGGATTGAAGAATGGGCAGAAAGGATTTCATTGGCAGTAACATAATTAGAGAAAAGGCTGTTGAAATTTAAAAACATCTGAAAGAATGTGGAGAATCCTTCTTAAACTTAGACTTTTTGGGAAGTAACAGTTGAGTAGAGAACTTTAGAAAACATTTTGCAATTCATAGCAATTGAATTCAAGTGACCATCATCCATGTGACTGATCATGAAGGTGCCAAAACATATCCAGAAAAAATTCAAGGGATAATTGAAAAATAAGGATGTTAATTACGTTTTTAATACTGATGAGACTGGCTTTGGTTTAAAAAAAAGCCCAAGAGAAGCTTTGTGTTAAAAAAAAGAAAAAGATAAAATATATCTGGTTTTAAGGCATCTAACAATCACATAACATTACTTTTGTGCAGCAGTCCATCAGGGGAATTAATAACGAAGCTCTTGCTAGCTTATAAATCTTTCAAATCCTGTGAATAAACACCTTAGCAGTACACTGGAGAGCAAATTTAATAGCTTGGGTGAAAGGAGATTCATTTAAAGATTTTGTTTTTCAACTCGTTTGTGCTGGAGGTAAAAAAATATGAGCTTCAAGGTGCTATTATTGTTCACCCACTGAATTTAACAGATCCCAGTGTCACAGTAGAATTTTCACCACCAAATGTTATTTCATTGATCCAACTTTTATATCAAGGTTGTTATTTGCAACTTTAAAAGTATGTAGTAGTAAAAGTAGTATTGTGATTTCATTCAATTTTAGATTCAGTTGCTTCTCAATCAGTCGATGTAATGAAAGCTTGGAAAGAGTTTTCAATTGAAGCTTGTTTTGAAATTGCATATCTTTCGGTAAGAGAACTAAAGTAATCAACTTTAAATGCACGTTAGCCATATCAGAAAGCTCGCTTGGATCTTCAGAAAATGGGATTCAGGAGCTATTAGAATGTGCTATATTCATCGGATGTGAAAGTTTTCTGGATATGGTTATTAAAGTTGTCCAAGAATAATTAGTGGAAGAAGAAATTGGCAGATTTAGTGAGAATGATATCGAAAATTCTGAATCAAATCAATTCTGAGGACAACATCTCTGATGAAAATCATGAAAATACTAATTTTACTCTGAAAATGTTATAGGAAGGACTTATATTAGCAAAAATCTTGAATAATTTTTCTTGACTGAAGATCTTTATGCTGAAAATTTAAAAGGGAGCTGGAAAATTACAATGAGATGTACTACAAATATAAAAGTTGCAGTAATCAGACTGAAATAACATATTATTTAAGAGAGCAGAAGATGCAAAAAATCCTAGCTAAGAAATGGATTCAGAAAGAGTTTTTTTTTTTTTTTTTTTTAATTTAAAGAAAAAGAAATCCTTGTACACCACAAGGTTTGTTTGACCTGAAAAATGCTTTTGCCTCATTGTGCAGAGAGTTATGAAGAAATATAATTAAATGAGAAAAGAAATATGTATTATATATGTACTTATGTTTTTATAATTTTAATAAAATTGTCAAATTTTAAAAAGTAAGGCTTTCAGAATGCATCCCTTCATATAGTATTGATTGTTAGGTTTATGTAGCATGGTTTCAAACAGTACAGTGTTTCTAGGAACCTGTCTACTCCATGTTATTGGAAGGATACCTGTATGTGATTTAATATAGTTCTTCAGAATATATTATATCTTTTCCTCAATTTTAGTTTTAGTTTATTGGAAACTGGTGAAAGAGAATTTAAAGTAAAACTATTTGAATTAAGTACTGTATTTGGAATTTGATTGTACAATTTCTACTGTGAATATTCCATCTAATTTGTAGTTATACTTGAATGCATGTTTTATATGATTAATAATTTCCTGCAGTTTCACGTGGTATCTCTATTTTAAATATATATATTAAAACGTTTTGTGATGTGCAAATAATCTTTTATACTTTCTATAATTATATATTAGGTTTTAGTGTTTCTTAAAAAATAAGAAGTTATAACTATTAAAATATGCTTTATATGCTTTTCAAAACTCAGCATTTATCTTTGTGTAATTATATGAATATGTACAGATATGCTAATTTGTGCTTTTCTGTTTCAGTTGACTATTTGTGGTTATATATTTTGGTTCCTACAATTGCCTTGGTTGCAATTTTGGGGTTGTTGCTGGGATTATGGTGTGTCCGTAGACGTACCAAACCTTCTCCTAAACCTGTAGCGAAAAATTCCAAAATGCCTGTGCGTCCAATTAGTCAACAAGGTCCACATCAGCAAATGGAAATGAAAACTTTAATTCCACGTCCAAATCTACGTGTGCCCGAAGTTCCTAGGAATTCTATAAGATTTCTGCAGGAACTCGGTGAAGGAGCTTTTGGTAAAGTCTATTGTGGAGAATTATTGAGTCTACATGGAAATGGTAGTGTCACTGCTGTGGCAATCAAAACTTTAAAAGAAAATGCTACATTAAAAACACAGCATGATTTTCAGAGGGAAGCAGAACTAATGTCTGATCTGCATCATCCTAATATAGTTTGTCTCTTAGGTGTATGTTTGAGAGAAGAACCTATGTGCATGCTCTTTGAATATATGTCACAAGGAGATTTGCATGAATATTTAATTTTACACTCTCCAAGATCAGATGTTTCTGCCAGCAGTGAAGATGGCACTCTTCAAATTTTGGAGCTTCCCGATTTCTTATATATCGCAAAACAAATAGCTGCAGGAATGGAATATCTCTCTGGTCATCACTATGTACACAGAGACTTAGCTGCTAGAAACTGCTTAGTTGGAGATAATTTGACAGTCAAAATTTCAGATTTTGGATTGTCTCGTGATATCTATTCTTCTGATTACTATAGAGTTCAGTCAAAATCACTTTTGCCAGTGAGATGGATGCCACCTGAATCCATACTGTATGGCAAATTTACTACCGAGAGTGATGTTTGGTCATTTGGTGTGGTTTTATGGGAAACATTTAGTTATGGCTTGCAACCTTATTATGGGTATAATAACCAAGAAGTCATAGATATGATTCGTTCCCGTCAATTATTGTTACGCCCGGAAGATTGCCCCGCTCATATATATGCCATGATGATTGAATGTTGGCATGAAATACCATCTCAGCGGCCAACATTTAAGGAACTTCATACTCTCCTCAGCAGTTGGCATTCAAAAACAATGAGTGTTACCCATTCTGGTAGTACTACCCAGAATGTCAGTCAGCATAGTAGCACAGGTCCTAGCAATAATACTGGATCTACGAACATGACCAATGCTAGCACTGCCACAGCACCTCTTGTAACTACAGGAATACATGTTCCTGTTTTCCCTCAAGCTATTTTTTCTAATGCTGGATCAAATTTGTTGCAACAGAAACTTGGAAATAACCATCATATGGTGCTTGGTCCTCATATTTTATCTAATCCATTTCCCAATGACCAACTGAATGTCATGTCTTTGCCAAGGCCTACAACCCCTAATGTTAGGCAACTGCCACCTCAAGTGATACCACCGTATCACATGTCTGATGGAAAAGTTTCTAAAGTATGATTTCTAGAAAAATTTTCAAAGGAGAAAACTTTTGAGATAATGCATCTGCATATTCCCAGTAGATTGGTTCCACCCGAGAACGGAGCAGAAAACATTGAAGTCAAAGATTTTGCAAGTTTCCAGGAACTTTTCTGTGTAGTGTTTCCGAATATAACCAGTCTGTTGATTGAAAGCAACAGAATAATGGAAACTACCTCGCGTACTAGTCCAGTAATGATCTGCTTCAATTGTACACAGTATGTGAATTGAGAGGATAATTTTTTTTTACCTCCCACTGAGAGCTTTATTTTAACAAAGTTTTAACACAGAGCTTGTACTGTTTTAGTCCACAGTTCTCAAAACATAGTTAATATGTAAAAAAAAAAAAAACTTTTAAGAGGGGAAAAAAACTTTTTTGAGCAGCAAGCCATTTCAGGCTTGTGAAAATAATTTATTTAGATGTCTTTTTTTAAAATGATGTATTAATATGTAAAGACTTTTCACAGAATTGCAGCTTTCCAAAATTGGATATGAAAATGGATTTTGCCTTGTTTAAGCAGTACCAGTGTAAGTTCCAAATAGTTGGTGTTCACATTTTTTAAAGATATAAAATATGCCAGAAACCATATAGTTTAGAATAAAATAGTGCCCATTTCATAGTGATTGAAGAAGTTAAATGAATGTATTTGTAAATGTGTAAATATGTGATACTAATACAGAATATTGGTAAAATTAGTCTCAAGTTTTATGAAGAGTAAATATCGATTTCATACCATGTCATGAAAAGACTCATCAACATCTTTAGTCCATGTAATGAATTAGAAAATACTTTAATTGTTAAGACATTATCCATATATTTTTATATAAGAAGGTTTTGTAAAAAAAAGGGGGGGGAACTAGTATTTTTTTGTAGCTTTTAGGATGAGTCAGAAAATATTAGTTTTTAGAATGGGAAAATATATTGAATAAGGCAAGTCCATTTTCATTTTCAAAATGTATGTGGAGTGACTAAAACTTACCCTGTAAAAAAGTCTAACTTTTTAATGCAATGTACAGAAATGTTTTATATGTATAAATTTTTACTTTTATAGTATTTATTTATTCCTTTCCATTTTGCACACTTTTCTTAAAATGCTGATGGTGTTATATATAAGTTTTCTTCAAAAATTATAACTTAACCTTAAAAATATGCATTTTCACCAGTTATGAATTATTTTTTGTAGCTGCATATCTGATTTCATAATTTTTACTGCTCAAAACTTATTTGATGAATTTGATATCGCATACCAAATTCATGCTGTGTTTGGTTGTGTGTGCTTTGTTTCTTTTGGTGATATGGAAACATCAAAATTGTGAAATGTTAATGTCAAATGTTAAGATGAATGAAATCATTACGACTTTATATTTAATCGTTAGTGAAATTTTTAAGATAAAGCAATAACACTCGGACATCCCTGCATTTTTTCACTTTGAATATCATCATACCATTTTTTAATGTTTGTTTTCATTTAACTTGTATAAAGATCTTGAGATTCTCATTTACTAGCATTTAATTTTTGCATTCTCTGTTATTTACAGAATCATTTATCCATCAGCATTTCATATTTATTGTACAGTTACATGATTTAATTTTTCTTATTGCATAGTTTCATAATTTTATACATAGTCGTTGTGTTTCCTAAATGTTTTTGATAAATTTATCAGAGCTTCAAATGTGACTTTGGCTTGTGAAGTGTTGTTTGTCAGAATATGCCAGTTGAATAAAATTTTGTATATAATTGAAATTTTTAAGAAGCTTGTCATGTTAGTCGCTTTCTGAAATTCACTTGCACAGTATGGAGATTCAATTTTTATTTCTTTGACACATTTTGATATTTGATGAGTGTGCTTTACTTTTCTTTAATTCACATTATTTAAAATTATGATGAAATTTATTATATGTAAATATTTTAAAAGTTTTGTAGCAGCAGCAAATGCTTTTTCTAATTTACATAAGTTGACTTTTAGCTATAATTTTATTAATTTCATATGCCACTAAAATACTCAATTTGAAGTAGTTTTAAAATTTGGAAATACATTTTTTTTTTTTTTTTATTTTAACCTTAGGAATTAAGAGTTAAATAACTGGACTTTGTATAAGTAAAATTCATTCATTCCATGGCTACCTCGTTTAAAATTCCGAAGCAATATTTTTTAAAATACAGTATTCTTTAGAAATAATAATAATAATAATAATAAAACTTCCAAAATTAAAGCACTGAAAAATAACTTACTTTTAATACCTTTAAAAACTAGTTTCACTTTTATTCAAAAGATAAATGTTGATAAAATTGGTTAAATTTTTGGAATATGAATTAGGATTAAGGACACATTTTCTGTTAATGCTATTTTAAGGTATAAAAATGTTTGCTGCCATAAATTTCAGTGCCATATTTTAAGTGTCTGGCTAGTCAGTGTTTATTGTACCAAAGATTTCTCTGTTATGATCCAGTATGTCTGTATTTTATTCATGAGAATAAAATTTTCACACACTTTTGTGAATATTTCATGTTTAGTTAATTGAACTTATAGATCCTAAGTTTAATAATGACACTCACAAACCTCTCCACATGTATTCCATGCCCTTCATTATATTTAAGTACACATATATAACTCAGTATATATGTTATAGTGTTTTTATAAAAGAAACCTTGAAGTACTGACATTTCTGGCTACGTGAAACGCTTTATATTAAAATTTATTTCTAAATATGGAATTAGTATATTCAAAGTCTTTGCAGCAAAATCTAATAATGAAGTACTGATTTATTATTTGATACTTTTGCTCAAAAAATTTTTCTAGAAGAAAATCTAATTACTAAGATTACTTTTTATAACTGAAGTTCTAGTATGAATGACTGTCATCGTATAGTAAATAATGCATGTCCGCTCTTCTCATGTAAGAACCAATTTTTAAGATCCCTTTTTTATCAGATGAAATTTTTCATATCAGTTTTAATCAAGTCAGTCTAGCATAGCTATGTAATTGTTTTCCTATGCCATCTGTTGTTTTAAAGTAAACGTTAAATGATAAGTATATTTTGTTTATTTAAGAGTAGTTTGATATTTTGGATGAATATATAATTTTATATCTTTATTGTATTTTCTGCTTACTAAATAACTAATTCGCCCTGCTTTCTAATCAATTTAAATATATATACTTTATACACATTTTAAAATTTTAAATCATTTTTAGCTTGTAAATTATGAGGGAAACATGAATTTTAAAGAAATTCTAGGATTGTGATTTTTGAAGTATTTAAGATTTCCAATATTGAATATCTTTAGTTAAATTTGTTTGATCACAGCCAAACTCGACTTATTTTAGATAAGATAACTGTTTACACAATTTAATCTTTTATGCATATGTAAACGTTTGGTGACAAGTATGTATGATTAATTAAAATTTTACTCATATATTAAAAAATTATAGTAATTAAAAATATTTTTAACTAGGCATTTAAACAAAAACAGAAAGATAAAACAAATGCACATAAATTTATGATTGAATTTCTGTTTAAAAAGAAATATCAGTAAAAAGTAAAATTTTAGGTCTTTTAAAGACTGTAAAATATTAGGCAATGAATTTATTAATTTTTAAATTACCATTATAACAACAGTTTTAATATCAAAACTGTGGGATGATAAATAAAGATATTTTTAGTGTATATTTCTTGAAAGGTTTACTCAATAATATAAAAATGACAATTGATGTACGTGTATAAATGTTCAAAATCTCGATAACTCATTATCTTAAAAAAAAAAAAAAAAATTATGAAGCAGTCTATTAAATAACATCTAATAAATTCTCAAAGGTAAAAAAAGTATACAAATGTCCATTATTTCAAAATACAACAATGAGTAAGTTTTTTTCACTTGTATGTATATTATTTAATATGCATACATATGAATATTTATTGTATATTCATTTACTATTTGCACTTACATCATTTTAAATGTGTTCTGTTTGTTCTTTATACCAAAAAAGTTCACAATATGCAACAGCATACTGCTTATTGGTAAGTATGCATGCACTTACTACGTCAACATAAAAATAAAACACATTCAACTTAAATATTTACACAGAGAAAATCTTTACTGCAATTTTTATTTCATGGGCTTACATGAAACAAAAATATTTAAGGTCAGCTTATATTTCATACATTAAAAATTATCTATCGCTAAAGATTCAGGTTCAGTATCTTGCAGCAGATTCAAGTTTAAGTAACATTCTGCATTTAATCATTACAATACTATTAACCTCTCCATGTTAGTTGTAATTAGTTACTCTAATAAAATTTAATGCAGATGAGAGAGCTAAATAAGCATAAGTGAAAAGTAATATCTTGGGTTTAGAATACATTTCACTACAACATATTCATAGTCTATTTATTAAGTTTTTGAAACCTGATGTAAATTTTATTAGCAAGAAATTCATTAGCATTGAATTGGGTGCCATATAGATCATCTGTATTCTTAAATTCAATTCCTTCATACATTTTTTACTTTCATTGACACATTTTGAATTTTCAGTTTATTAAGCAAAATGTAGTTAAATATATTTTTAGAGTAACTGCTACAATAAATTACATATCAAAGATACTATTTTTTTTACTAACTTTTTAACATACAGCATTTCATTCATATGCATAAAAATGCTGGATTTTTCTATGTAGTAGGATAATAATAAATATATTTATTTATTATTGAAAAATTTAGCTAAGTTAATGAAAGTTCTAGTTTTTTCCTTTATAATCTATTAATAAATTATGATAAAAATAACACTCTCATGAAATATGCAGAAGTCTAAAAAAGTTGAAAATGATAAAAACTAATAAGTTACATAGAAAAAATAAAAACTATAAAAGAGAATGCCACTGAAATTTTATCGTACAGTTTTACATAGTATCATGCAATCAATAAGGAATGATAACTATAATAAATATATTTTAGCTAATACAGATTGTATGAAGTAGAATAATATATATGGTTAGCATTTACATAAAAAAGATACAACAGGAATGGTTTTATCTTTTGAAAGCTACCCAAATGTATCCATGTGGAATCCCTGCTCCACAAATAAGCACGAATATCTCTAAATGTTCTGAAAGTATTCTATAGAGATAAAAAAAAATATGGTTAAGTTCAAATTGTCCACAGATCACATGACTAAATACCATTCAAAATATTAATCATCACATATGGATGTATATTGTCCATACTGAGATCACTGTATATGGAACGAAACAAAAAGAGATAGGGCGGCAGTGAAAAGAAATATTTAAATCTAGTCTACTTGTTTAAATACTGGATTCAAAATGTTGAGCATGATCCTCAGTTTTCATACCTCTAGAAACTTTTGCATTAATATTATTATTGTTGTTATTAGCCACATTCGATTGATGATGATGGTGGTGGTGGTGACGGCTGTGATGGTGATGATGTCCAGAAGACTTGGATTTGTTGCTTGATGCAACAGGTGATTTTGAGTGTGATTTACTGGAATCCCTGTTTCTTCTTACTGGTGAATGAGGTTTATAGTTTCCAATACGGCAAGCAACAACAGAAGCATGATCTAATTTTCCGGGTACAGTACACAACTTGTCTCCTACCTTTCTTCGACGAGATCTCTGTTCTTGCTGAGAATCAGGCTCACCATTCTGATATAATTCAGGATCTTCTAGAATTTTACGTTTTGCAACAGTTAACTTCATTGCAAAATCGATCAAAATATCACACAACTTCTGAGCTGAATCACAAGCTTTGTCATTGTCATTTTGTCCATTGTTCAAAAGATCTTCCATTCTTAATAGTGTAAGCTGATGCCTCTGATGAGCCTCAACAACCGGAAGTGAAGGCTCTGGAGCTCCAACACTGGAACGCTTATTGACTGTATCTGCAGAACTGTTGCTCTGCCTCCTTAGCATTGATTCCAGTTTGCTATTCTGTCTTTTCACAGTAACTTCCTGACTGTTGCTGTTTTGTCTTTTAACACTTCCATTGCTGTGCTTGGACGAATCCGGTTTTCCGACATCAGAAGCTTTGCGATGAACTTTTTCTGGCCTTTTGGGAATTGCAAATTTCCCAACAACAGGATCAAAATTATCAGAAATTCCATCACTGCATAAAAAGAGGTAATCACCCTGTTCCACTATGGTCATCGAAACAGTCAGATTATTTAGCTCGGGATTAACTCCATCTACTGGTCCTAAAGCACCCAATGCATCACGCATGTCTCTCATGGAATTAATATCATGGGAACCTAAGATTATAATTAAAAATTATTAACTAAATATACATTTAATAGTGTCATAATTTGAATATACTAAAACATAAAATCTCACAATTAGCAGCAATTTATAAAGAAATGATAAGGCTGCCATTTGATTTTAATCAACAACTCTCAATGATGCTTTAAAATATAAAAGTGCAAGAGCTGATTTAACTCTCAGAGTGGCGCAGATTTTAGGACCTACTTATAAACAGCACTTTTTTAAGCACTACTTATAAACTACACTTTTGTATTTAAATAGCACTTTTTTTTTTAAACTCAAAGGAGCACTAGCCCAGAAGGACTGTTAGTCTCGAAATAGCATTTTGCGTCAAATTACTGTAAACGGCTGTATCACTTTTCAGATTGCTGCCTCCCCAAATATTATTGCCCTATGTTATATTTAAAGAAACTAAATAATGAAGAATCTGCATAAATGTGTATATGGTTCTCGTATTTTTAAAAACAACGATACCTAGAGCCATCAAATTTTGAATAACATAATCCTCCACCAGAATGTGGGAATATGGAAGCCCGAATCTTGAAATATTCCTTTTATTATCTATTTCATATTTTTAAACTTTAATGAATTTTTTATTAAGAAACTCAACGATTTCAAAGCCAGCAGTGGCAATATACTGTACGGAATAAAATATTTTTATCTCCAGTGTGCAAAACTATCTATTGGAAATTGTAAAGATATGCTGTTTTAAATATTTTCAGTTTAATGTATGTCTGTGTAAATGAAAAAAATTCCCCTTTGGGCTTATATAAAATCTTAAAGCTATCAGATTTTATTTATTTATTTATTTTGGTCCCCTGGAAAAGTCAACTAATTTCTGATCAATAGTGATAATTACTTGTTTTTTAATTTTAAATTTTTTTCCCAAAGTTTGAAATTTTGTTTTTCATGATTTAAATTCAAGTCCCCTTAAAACGTTTTTTTCATGATTTACTTTCAAATTACTTTAAAACACAATTTTCGGAATTAAACTTCCTACATATGGGTTCCCTCTTTTTTGATACATTCTACTAAATTTATATTAGGAGATACTATAATCAATATTTCTTTAGTAAATAAATTATTATCTTTCTTTGCAGCTATTGCACAAGTATTAAAAAAAACTTGTTTTCGAACTCAGTGAATTTTAGATCATTCAATATATACATATATATAATTGCTGAGCTATTATATTGTTGCATTATTTGAATATTAGATATGTATTATTGAAAATAATTTTTCATTTCTTTCTTTAATAATTATGGGAATGTGGTTCCTACTAAAAGATAACTATTATCTAATTTCCTGCACAGCTCCAAAATTTCCAAACAAATTAAGCTGACAAATATTTAATCTTAAAAATAGAGCCAAACACAATTGACCATAATTCCAAGTACTACAGCATATTTACTTTATGGTTGGTTCATTTGCCATGCATGTTCTATGAATGAAATCAAATTTTTACCGTCACACTTTCAGAATTGCATTAAAAGTTAAGTTCCTCTTACAAGACATAACAAGATAAAAATTCTGTCTTCTGTTAAGCTGTTTGGAAAGCAGATTTTGCAATATGTAAAAAGGCTCAAGCTGAGCTAAATTAAGTGCTATATTTTAGATACATTCAACAAAGACATTTTACATGGCTAAAGATGCAAATTAAAATAAATCTTTTTCAAGAAGCATTTGTTGTACACATTAACATGAAGAATTTCTTAATACTTGAATCTATAGTGACAAAATTATGAAGATGTATAATTAGCAACATTTTATAAGAAATATCAAATTAAAAATCAGAACACTTCAAAGAGTGTTACAAATAAATAATCAGTCATGACTATATAACAATGCTTTGTTCATATTAAAATCACTGATGATGATATCATATGCTCAATGCAATACAGATTTGTATTACTTAGAAATTCTCGGATAAAAAAAAGTTAGCATGCAAATATATGAGTGTTTATTTCATAAATTAAATACTGAATTAAATTGTTTTAAAGTTATTACTTTACTTGATGAAGAATGGATGAAATTATTTTATGGATAACACACATATATCCGAAACATTTATATACAAGTCAGTAACTGAAGACCTAAGAAACTGTTCCACTTTAATATCAAAATGTTTTGATCACTGAATGCATACTGCTGTCCTCTTCTTTAAACAATACATTTAAGTGAATAATGCAAATACAAAAGCTCTTCTGGATTCTGTTGAAATATGACTGAAATTTTGGCCTTATATGTTTCCTGTGTCTCTGTTAACATTTTTGATACCTATTGGTCTTGCACATATTTTCTTAAAATTTATTCTACGTTAGCAAATAAAATGCTTACAGTCTCAGCAAGGCATATAATAATCACTCATCTATTGGGTTTTAATGAAAGTTTCCTATCAGTGCAAACAGTTCGTGTTGGTGTGTTTAATCATAATTTGTCAAACGATTTTTGGCATTTGAAAGAACGAGACTTGTTTTAAAACACTGTGTTGTGAAATTTCTAAACAAGTATCATTATCATTTAGTATAAAGTGTCTGAAATGGAACTATCACACTACTAGATTACAAGCATCATTTACTTCTAGTTGTGTTGCAAAAAGTAAGCTACATAAGCTACAAAATGTCACCAAATCATGTGTACAGCTTTAGGTACTAATATTGTATCATATGATGCTGTGAAGGTTTGGTACCAAAAGTTTAAAAACAAGGACTATGACATTCAAGAAGAACAGCGCTCTGACCGGGCAACTGATGTTGATCAGGCCCACCTGCAAGAATTTGGGAAGAAGATCTGTATGCAATTATCCGAGAGCTTGCTAAGGAGATAGACATTAGTGCCATGTCCATTAGTTGCACTATGCATATGAATTGACATACAAGTTCAGTCGCTGGGTGCTACATGATCCGACTCAAGCAGATAGACAGAGATGTTTAGGCCTGCACTAATCTGCTCAAATATCAACGCAAGGACAAAATTCTGGACCAGGTCGTCACTTGTGATGAAAAGTGGATTTACTTCAACAACATAGCCGAAAAGGGGGTTGGTCTTTGCCCTTTGGGCTCATCAGCAGCATTGCAAAGTGCAATTTGACTAACAAAAAGATCATGTTTTGTATCTGGTGGAATTGCCGTGGTATTATCTATAAAAAGTATCCGGAAAAAGGTAAATGAACAGTAATGACATAAATGAACCGAGTTCTGGCACAAAAATGTAATTTTCCATCAAGATATTGCAAGAACACGTGTCTGAATTTACCGGCTGTACTCTGTACGGACTCAAATGGGATTTTTTGCCACACCCACCATATCGTCCTAACATAGCTGCTTCGGATTTCTCCCTTTTTTCACACCTACAGCTACATCTTGCTGGTGCTGTCTCCCATTCTGCACAGGACGTCCGAAATGATTTTGATCTGTTTTTGGACTTAGAGCCACCAAGTTTCTGAACCTGAGGCTTTGAAAATCTTCAAAAACTTTGGCAGAAAATCATGGATTCAGGTAGTGATTACTACCTGCACTAAAGGCACTGCTTTATGTTTTTTTTTTTTTTTTTTTTTTTTTTTCGAATGTTATTAAGAACATTTTTGGCAGAAAACTTTTATTACAACCAGATATTTGGCATCATGATTTTCATCACTTTGGCAACCATTTTCTTTGGAATCAATGTAGCTGGATGAATGCAATGTTTACAGTGCAGGGAGTTCTTTCATGGCAAAATTCTGCTACCAATTTGGCACCTGTGACATACAAGCTGCAGCACTACCTCCTAATGTCTCACACACATAAATCCTTATGAATGTCCCTCATAAAAAATGTGCTTTAAACATAAATACTTTATTACTGCTCGATCTTTAGTCTGACCACTTTTGATTTTATTATTTTTTAAATAAAAAAAGTTATGAATAAAAATTTGTCTTTAAAAGTTACATAAAATTATATACCACTGTATTAATTTAGAAGTCAAACAGCAAAAATCAGCATTACATTTGCAATTTTTCACAAGACTAGTTTCGATGGTTTTACCGAACCTTCTTATCTCATTCATTTCCTCTTTGGCAGCTCAGGATGATGGTTCGGTAAAACCATCAAAACTAGGCCTGTGAAAAATTGCAAATATAATGCTGGTTTTTGTTGTTTGACTTTTAAATTAATATTTGCTTGGTGTGTTATTTTTCCTAAATTATATGCCATTGTGTTTAAAATTCCAACTAAATCTGCCTACTTTTTACCTCCCCTCCTATTAGCATTTTGATTATGCCTTGTAATTTTAAATTCTATAAAAGCAATTAAAATTGATGAAAGTGTGTTCTTTTGAATATGTAATGATACTTTTCTACGATTTGACATTTTTTACTTTCAGACCTTATACTCCTACCAGTAAGTTAGTATATTGTATACCATTACAATACATCCTTTCTTTTTTCTTTTAAAATTTATTGGAGCAGGTAAAGATTTGAGTATCATGGAATTTTTTCATTGTGATCATTTTTCATCCACGATTTAATAAAATTCATTTAACTTTGAGTATACGAGTGTTTAACTCTTTAATTTTACTGCTTCAAAACTAGCATAATGATATGCAAATACAAAAGAATGACTATTTTACCTACTACTTTACAGACAAACTAACTTCCCAGTGGCAGAAATACTTAACAGACTGATATCAGGATCAATAAAATAATTAATTGCTATTTTTTGGAATTTGTGTATATTTATTTATTATTTGCTGCAGAAAAAAATGCAACTTAAGCATACAAAATCACTTTATTGTTGATTTAAAATTTATGTATCACTCGCAGACTCACGAAGTATCTTTTACTTTAAAATACACCTTTTTATTTGTCCAGTTGATTTCAGACATCAAACATTTTATTTTGGGGTGCAAATAAGAAGCATTAAACCAAACTATATAATAAAGATGAGAAATATGTTATAAACTGCACTGGCAGAAGTATCATAAAAATCTTGTCTCATATTTAATAGGGTACAGCAGGCAAGTCTAGCTTATTAACTGTAAAGTATATTTACCTTGAGTTATTTCTCTAACTCCATGTTTTTGACTGTAAACATATGCTAAGCTGTCACCAACATTGCATGTACAAACAATAAATTTGTCAGAATTCCTTAACTGGCAGACAACAGCTGCACAAAGTGTTGTTAAGTTACCTTCTTCTTGCAGGATTAAATTGTGAGCAGCGTGAAATGAACGGAGAAGACAGACGAATATATCCTGAAAGTTAATATAATTTTAGAGAATGAAAATATAAAAATTTGTTACATTAAAATATGCCATTACTTAAAACAAGAAGTCTAATCAATCACAGTATTATCATTGATATCACGGTATGTTATCGTTAATAGTCATAGCTTTGGAAGAGACATCAAATTTGTATATTAAAACAGTCTAGAATGACAGTGAGAGAAATCTTGTAATTAACTAAAAAGTACTAGTTATCGTTATTAAAACTTCATAAACATTTTTAGTAACAATGCTTGTATAGATTTTTAGGGATCTTTTGAAATTCTAAATGCTTGATTGGTTAAATTTTGTTAACACTGTCAATCTTAAATTGTAATGTGCAACTTTTAAATTTCACTAATGCCTTATGTGATGAGTGCTTTAATTAGTAAATATCCGATAAATTAATAAAATATAGTAAAACAGCAGCAGCCAACTGTACTATTGGTTATATTTTTTAATTGGGTAAACCCCTTCCCTCAGGACTGATATAGGCCATAAAATTTTTTTGAATGGCAAAACTAGGATAAAAGGATTTAGCTGAATAGGAAAACACACTATTCAACTAAATTAAGATTCAACTCTGTAGGAAACTTCATACTATTCAACTTTATAGGTAAACATGCTCTATATGCTCCCTATATATATATATATATATATAAAAGGCGGGAAGGGAAGGGGGGGGGAACAGAAAATATTGTGAAATACAAGCCTTTCTTATATTATTATTACATAAAGGACAATAACTATTATTTATTCCTCACATTCTAGTTTCTTCATTAACAGATTTATTCCAATTATTACTTATATCACAATTTATCAATAATTGGAAAACAAACTTTAAGTTATGACTCTGATGCCAATAAGAAGATATGTTTTTTGTGGAAAAGGCAGGTCGGCCTATAAAATGACATTATATGGAATGTATATTATTGAACATACCTAATAATTTACTTAATCCAATAATAATAAATGATTATCAATAAATAATTATAAAGCAAAAAGTGTTTAAAAATGACTACCACAGACGACCACAAATACTGAATTAAAAAAAATGGAAAACTTCCACATTACAATTGCTCTTAAAAATAAAATTTTAGTCATAATTTGAATAAAAATTAGGATAAAAGGATTTAGCTGAATAGGAAAACACACTATTTAACTAAATTAAGATTCAACTCTATAGGATACTTCATGCTATTCAACTCTATAGGAAAACATGCTCTATATGCTCCTCTTTAAAAAAAAAAAAAAAGAGCGAGAACAGAAAATCTTACAGATTATATTTATGAATAAAATATTCTTACATTGTATAAGCTTAAAGATAATTGTAATATACTTAATTGTAATCCTTATGTATATGCTTCATATATTCTGGATTGCCACTCATCCTTTCTATACAACACTTATTTCCTATTATAGTAGAAATATAGTTCGTATTTGAAGAGGAATTTGAACTAAAAATCCATATCCATAAGACTTGTTGTTATTGTCTTCTCCATATCACATGGAACAATGGTTGCCAGAGCTTACTTTGAAGAGGGGTTGGATTTCTATTTTCCACCTCCAATTTTGAGAGGGAGATCCGGGTGTCTCTCACCCTTCTGCTCTTCCACCAATCCACATGAGAGGATTTTCGGCTCGCCGCATATTTAGAGTGCTGCCATGCTACACTGACACTATACATTTACAAACATCCATGTCTTCTCCAGGATTCAAACCTGAGCCCTTTGGTACCGTAGTAGGCTTCCTTAACCAACTATACCATCTGGACGACTATATAAGACTTTACTTTTATATAATAGTATAAGAGCATAAATCAATACTAATAAATAACTACACAACATAGAAATGAAAACAGAAGAATGAACAAATTTTTCAAGAAGTTTCACTCTTGAATGTAATATTTAGCAGGCATTAAATATTGTTAAGTTGGTAAACATACTTATATTTTCAGAATCTTATTTACAAATATACTTTATGGAGCTAAATTACCATAGTTGTCTCTATCCTTCCACCTTCTCTGTACAACGCATTGTTCAAGTAATCCATGCAACCATGGACAGCGCATCTTGCAGCAAGGCAGGACTTCTCACCCCAATTGACACCATCAGCTAGAACCAGAACTGCACTGTTTTCACGCAAACAAACAGCAAAAGCGTCTGCAACTGGCTCCCCTGTGTTATAATTAACATGACAAAGCATAAATTATCTAATACTTTAGGAATCAATGACGCAAACATTTTCAGTTTGTTTGCTGGTGAAGATACGTATTAATCTCTTATTAGAATTATATTTTCACATGTACGCTTCTTTTTTACATAAATATATACATCTTCTAAATTTTATTTTTAAATAAGTAAGTAGATACGAATTTAATCTATATAAATATAATATATAGGAAGATGTATAGCATTTTAGACTTAATTAGAAATTAATTACATATAATTCTTTTTTGCTTGTTTATTCTATTACAATGCTTAATTATCTGTATATTATATTATTTTTTTAAAGTATTTTATTAATATTTTGTATCATCTACTTGCATTATGCACACAGACTTTAAGGGATGCGAAACACACAAAATTGCTCATGACATTTTTGAAAAACTAAAGTTCAATTCTAACTTTACATATATATAGTATGGCAAATTTAAAAATTGGCAAAATGATATTTTACTTTGATGTTGATTTAACCCTCTAAGTGATGTAGATTTTTTAATTTTTAAGTTTAAATTATTTTTTAATTTTTAAGTGATGATGAACAGCTGTATTTAAATAACATTTATGAGCTAGATTTATATAATGACTTATTTGTTTTCGTGAATCTCTATTCAATGGGATAATATTTTGATCATTAAAGAATATAAGAAAATAAAATATTTTAAATAAATAAAAATTGTTTGTTATCGTTATTGTTTGATGAAATACGCTAACGATATTAGCTTAATTACAGTTTTGAGCCGCTTTTCCTTTGATAAGTCTGACACAAACCTTGGGTTGGGCTAATTTATCATTTGTTGCAATTCTTTGTACATATTTACTGTGTATTTGAAATGTTTTTAACTATTTGCGAGCATCTTTTTAAAATTATTAAAATTTATTAGGTTTTTTTCTTATGCCTTTTTGAATTTGAAGTTATCTCGTTTTATAGTTTTTACACGATAACTTAGACTCCTTAGTATTGTTAGTTGTTTTTACATGATGTAACTATTTTACACAGGAACTGCAGTGTCAAATGTACTTTTTAGCAATAGCTTTTAAATATTCCTCTTCTTTGCAAATATTTTAAATAAATAAATATATGCTTATTGACTGATAAAAATGGTCATGTTGCTCAGAAGGTTTAATAATAAAAAAAACTCAGCGTACTTTAAAAGGCAAAAGACATGAAGACTTAAAATGCAAACTGACCTTTTATTTTAATCAGTATGAAACTAAGAAGTTAAATTTAAAATTTACCATACAATAAACATTTTAAAAATTTTGTAATTAATAAACTTAATAATAATAAAGACATTTGCTTAAGAGCAATTCATTGGGAATGGCCAAACCTAATACAGTCAAAAGTCGTTAATTCGGACACCCATAATCCGGAATGATCTATAATCCGGACCTCAAAACTACAAACTTTCTGCGTATGCGGCGCGTTCACACATGCGACAGGTGTTTACGAGTGCGCGTAAGACCTTTACGGCTGCGAATATGTGTGTGCGCATGTGCGTTTAATGTGTAACGGACGGTATAAGCTAAGCTAAAATTATCTAATTCAGTTAATGTTGCAGATTGCGTTGTTCCTTAATCTTCGAATCGGATCCGGCTTATTATTTTTTGCAGACTGTTAGAGCAAGTTCATAAAAGTAAGCTTGAACTTTCGATTATGTCAAATAGAATTTCCGATATATGTTTACTAATATGTAATTTGTATCTACAAAGCGAAAGTATGTTTTGAAATTCGAAATCTGTTTATCAATTTCACGCTGCGGATTGGAAGTTGATCTGTCATCACTATCCTTATCTTCAGAACAGATGTTTTTATTTTATTTGGTTTATAACTCCTTACTAAGTGTAGTATTTCATCTCTACGTACTCCGTCTTTGATATGATTTAAATCAAGTTCCTCGTCATTATAATTCGCTTCCGATAGTGAAGAAAGTGATCTAGAAGTTATTGAAAACGAAAACATTGCGATTGACAAATTAGTCTGTATTCTCAACACAGCATTATAGGACTTGAACAGCGGAACTTTGTAACTAAACAAGAAATTGTGTCTGTTTAATAGAATTAAAGAGAATTATCACATGAAACGAAGCAACTTACATTGAAAGAAATGTTTAATAAAGTAAACAAATAAATATTAAGCTTTTTCTTTTTGTAAATTTTGATACTCTTTAGATCATAATTGTTCTTTATTTCATAAATTACGGTTTCATATTTTTAATTTTGTAATTTCTGCGTGCCATCTTACCAGATTTAAACTGATGATCTATAATCCGGAAAAATCGAAAATTCAGAATCGCCGAAGTCCCGACAAGTCCGGATTAACGACTTTTGACTGTAGTATTTTAATCATTACATCACTAACAGTGTTATCCAAGATGCACAACAAGAGATAGATACATAAGAAACAGAGAACATACACACACAGCCACAACTTACGTAGGAGTCAGTGCTTAAATTGCGCTGGAGCCCGACTCCAGTACTTCTCAATTTTTAAGATAGATTACAATTTTAGCTGGAGCGCACCCGAGCCTTAAATAAGATGAGCTCCGGTACTTTCTTTTATAAAACTGAACCACAATTTAAAGGGAAAAAAATTAGAATTCCTAACGATTTAGTTTAACAATCAGCAAACCTTGCAGTTCTCTATTTCCCTAGAAATACAAACTCATGAGAACATGAGATGTTCAAGTGTAAAGTCCCCTCACTTACATGCTGAAACCTTTCCCTTTAAGAAGGGCGATAAATTTGGGGGAGTTTGTTTAGGAACGCGCAAATTTCTTGCCATTCCATCGTATCTAGTGTATTGTTATCCTCTATCGGATGCAATACACTAGTTACAGTTATTTATCCTTTATTGTGTTCTTAAAAAAATTTAAAAAAAATTGAATTCTTAAATGTGCGTTAAGTGACAGCGAGAGTACAAATAAGAGTGGAAATACTGAGATAAACTGCTCAAGCACGTCCTATACATCGTCTTCCCACAGTATCCACTAATGGGGGGGAAAGAATAACCAGCAACTTTACATTCATCCTTTAGGAGTCAGATTCAGGAACTCATTTTATCCGTTAACATACATCTGCTTGATGGCTATAATTATATCAGCAAGAGAGCCGCGGTCAAAGAAAACGTTCTCTCTCACCAAGATTCCCCTCATTTTTTGTTTCCACCCACTCATGCCCTCATTCTGTTTCGCCCTGGAAATTTCATCAGCTATAAGTATATTTAATTTTTATGTGACGATAAAAGAACTTCCCCTCCCCCATAATCAGAGCTTAAATTGGGCTGGAGTACACCTGATCTCGGCTCCGGTGTTTCTTAGTTTTTGTAATAAATCATAATTCTAGTCAGAACGCACCGGAGCCCTGAATAAGAAGGCTGCCACGCTTCTTTTATGTAACTGAACAAATTCAGTAAAAATTTGATCTCGAAAGTTTTATTTATTGCAATAAAATTATATTACAAATCGCTTATTAAGTTTTAATTTATTTCTTTACATTTTATTTAATTTTAACTATTTAATTATTTTAACTTTTACCTATTTAACTATTTTAATAAGTAATAATTAATTAATTTTATTTAAATAAATAATAATCATTAATCAAATAATAATTGACAAATATTAATTATTAAAATTAATTAAATAATAATTAATTTCATAATAATTAACTATTTAATTTTAAAATTATTAATGAGTTTAATAGTCATTTTATTTATTTATTTACTCTTGTCCCTCTTTGCTGACAGTCTTCCATACGGCTCCAGCACTTCTAAAGCCTTAGCCCCTACTCCCCCAGCACACATGATCATCGCACTTCCAATCAACCTCCTCCTCACAGCCACACTGGATGCTTTCCTGACTCCATTCAGCCTCGGATCATTGTCACTGCTGCCTGCACGCTACTCTGATCATCACTCTTTGGAAGTTTTATCTCTCAACGCCGCTTCTACTGCATTTTAATTGCTATCATCACTCTCTAAAATTGACATTTACCTCAGGACTCTCTCTACACACACACACACACGCACACGCACAAAAAAAAAAAAAAAAAAAAAAAAAAAGGATTCACCTGCCGTACCTCAACATTAATTATGCTTATTATTGCTACTCTTCAACCCAAATTCCACGATTGCCAACATTCAGAAGCAGATCCAATTGCTAAACTGGGATAGAGTCTCTTACCCAGGCGCCCAAACACATGAAGAAATCAGGGGCGTAGCTAGAGGGGGGGCAAGGGGGGACATCTGTCCCCGGGCGCAGAATCCAAGGGGCGCCAAATTGATGTTACGACATTTTAGAATTAAATGTTTTCTATCCTTGGAAAGCAGTTAGTGGGCGCGAAATCTTCAGTTGCTCCTGGGCGCTGAAAACCCTAGCTACGACTCTGGAAGAAATTAAGCCCTGGTAGGAGTTGAACCATACACCAGAATTTGTACTAGTAGTCAATCTTTGTACTATCCCAGAGCAAACATTAGTAATTACTTTCTTGGATTTTAATGCCCACCTTCATTATCTTGATTAAAGACTATGCTATATACTTAAAGTTCATTGCATTTAAAGAACATGAAGAGAACAATACATGTACTTTCAATCCATAATTTTTATGCAGATTATTGTCAAATTTCTTAAAAATATATCACACAATTTTAATAAGCTTCACTGTGTATGTTTATTTTTTATAAATTAATTAATAATTTCTGATCTCATGACTGAGGCTTTAGTGACTTCAAAAGTCCACTTCTGTTAGTCATAGCATATAATTAAAATAATTTACACAGCTTTCCCCTCTTCGAAATTGTACAACAGTAATTTTCTTTAGTATTATATAGCTCTAACAAACAGATATATACAATGAATTTTTTTATGCATTTTTATTAAAAAAAAAAAAAAAAAATTCAAAAATCTCTTATAAAATTTTAAAGTTAAAACAAACTTTTAAAAATAATAAAAAATGAAATCATTCTTTACATTAGATGGAAGAAATACTGACACACTCAACTTATATGTTATATATCTTTTAGTCATATACTGCAACAATCATTAAGCCAATGTTACAAAAGAGCATGTGTTTTGTACATAACACAATTTGTTTCCTCTTTTAGGGGCATGTTGTCGATCAGTATTAAAAATTCCATTAATATTCATTTAAAGAATCTTTTATGCACACATTTTCAAATAATTTTTCATGCTTGTTTAAATAGTCACATGATGCGGGAATTTGTGACACTATTATACAGAAAGATATACGAGGTTCTACACAAAAATTTCAAACATATTACTTATTATATTAGCAATACTTAACACAATATGGACATTTTTGATACACTGGTACGGAATTTGATTACCTGCATTGGCATTTGTTACAGGATGCTTTTCGTATAAAGATGTTGCAGTTCCGTAGGCTCTTTCATCTGGTTGATTCCAGTTTTTAATTCCAGCAATTTCATCTGGAAAATCTGTAATGTAAAATAAGTTTATAAAAAAAAAGACTACCTTAATAGTATTTAAAAATTTAAAATATACTATCAATAACAGACTTAAAATATTAGTCACTATTTTCAGTTAAAAGAAAAGGGCTAAATGTATGTCAAAACAAAATGGCAGCAGAAACAAAGATTGTCCCTGTGCTCTAATTTGAAAAATATAAAATACTGAAAAAAATACATGCTAAGAAAAAAAAAATACCAGATATGATATATAAAAACAATTATATAATAAGGATTAATGTAAGATTTAGCAATTATTTTCCTTTGATTTTCCTCAACAGGAAGTATTCTGCAATATTTACTGTTAGAGTGAATCATTCATGCCAGGAAACAATTATAAGCAATAAATGTGTATAACAACAAAGACACAATTATCTCTTAATAAATAAACTCTTAACACACAATTACCTCTTAGCTTATTTTTGTTGTTGCAATATGATAATAATGAAATATAGCAGGATTAGCTTAAATGCCGTGCATTTATAAAACATTTAGAACAGTTTTTCATGCTTCATATAGAGTTTTAATTAAAGATTTTATATAGATATTCTTTACAACTTTAAATTTTTATTATATTATAATTTAAAATTATAACATATTACATAACATAACTTAAATATTACATCACATTTTCTTAAAAATATTTCATCAAGATAATTTGTATTTAGCAAAGGAAAACATAAACTTGGATTTATAAGAGTTAAAAACTTGGATTTATAAGTGCACTTTACAATATTTGAAAGAATATTTATTAAATTAGCATATGACGTCATTTTTTTAAAAATATCAACGAATATAAATGCCCTACAAAGGTCAAATTTATGACTTTTTCAGCAGAGACTGATCAGTGCCATGGAAGAAATATCAGCGATCTTTTTTTAACAACAAAGAATAAAAAGATCTCCATTTATAAGTTTGTCATCATATCAGTTGTGCTGAATGCAAGCTTCTTATTTCTATATATTTTTCCAAACTGCAAAGAAGGTCGAGAAAAGGAGGGGAGGGGGAATTATTCAGCTGTTAAATTTTTTAATTAAATTATTTATGGAAAAATGTTTTTTAAATAATAAATGATAATTTTTTAGGCCAGTTACTCTCAAATGTAAAAATCAATTCTCAGTTAATTATTTAATGCAGAATGATACCAATTACTTTAATTGATATTTGTTGAATACAGGATAATACCATTTATATTAATTGCTATTTGCTGCACTTAGCTACTGCAGCATTTGTGAGTAATATAATTAGCTTATAACATCAGCATAAACTATTACAACAGAGATCAAGGACTTTTATGCATGTAACTCATGTTTAAAATACTCACAAGTGTAATAAATACTCTAGCAACGGAAATAAAGCTTCACAAGCAGGATTTTATAAGAAAGGATGCATAATAACTTAGCTTACAACTATAATATTAATATCAAATTTATACAATAATATAAAAGAATAAACCTTGAGCAACTGATGTGATTTTTTCATTAACAGGTGCTTGTTCATTTATCTTTTCTTTGTTCTCAACAGCATTTGATTCTTCAATATTCAGCTTGTTTATGTTCTCAGAACTTCCTTCATAGTCTTCATCTATAAAGTCAACGTCTAAATCAAGATACTCAAAAGGTTTCTGTTTTCTGTTTACTTGAGTTAAACCTCCCGCTGGTCCGGTGTGTGCAGCAAGAACTACTTTTGATAATTTAGCAACTTTTTTCATTGGCAAGTCATAACAGCATTTTCCAAATATTATTTCCGGCTGATTTCGCTTGAGTTGTCTGCAAATAAAAGTAAATAATAAGACAAATAAAGAGAGACTTTAATAAGACAAATTCTTAAACTAATAATTTTATAAACTCAAAAAAGATATTAACTTTTCACGTATCCAATACAAATTTTCAAATTAGTCTTTACTTTACAATTGAAACTGGAAATTCGAACTTTATTAACTCCTATACTATTATATAACTAGTTGAATAATTATCTTTTATTTGCTTTCGACTTGACAAGCGGAAAGACTGTGAGGTCACATTTTAAATAGATTATTCGTCAGTAGATGGCGCCACAAGCTCTCAAAAAGTGAAATTTCCAGGGTAATTTGAACATGACTCCAACAGTGAATTAACTTTGCATACTATCAATTTAATTATTAAAAGCTTTTATTTAGTTTACTCATAATGTTTGTAGCTACGATTAAAAGACTGCCATCGGTTTTTAAACCACTTCTTGATAAACTTAATTTCAAGTATAAATTTTGTACACATTCTGTGGGTGACAATACATTGATTATAGTGAAGTGATTTCTTTTCAAAATTCCATTTAGATTTTTTAAAATTTAATGCTGAAACAATTTTTCCCGCATATCTTCGTTTGACGAAAAAATAAAAATCTCAGAAGTTTTATTAAAAAACTGTAATCTGAAAAGTTCAGATAGTAACAGTCTAACATCTCGCTAAAATGTTTAATATAAAAAAAATTCTAGAAAAATGTTAAAAATATGAAGTATTATAAAAAAATTCTATAGCATTTATGATGACATATGGCATTAGAAACATCTTTTATTAATTATAAAAAGCTGCAAACGTTCATAAAAATTATCAACAGGATGTATTCCATACTAAATGTTCTTTAATATGTATCACTTAGTTATACTACTAATAAAGATTTAAATTGTTAAAAAGAGCGTTTATTGTTTTTAAATTGAGCAGTTTGATAACCTCTAAGCGAATGATCAAATCAGAAATGTAAATCAAGGAACAGTAACACTCTGAGAACAGGCTATGCACGAAGACACGCATAGAAGATAAATTAAAAGGTTTTACATTTTTCAGAATGGCAACACTTCCTAAAAGCGCTCGAATGATAAATGCTACTTCTAGATTGTTTCCGTTCTTCGTCCACTAATTTCAGACGCACGATTATGTCTATGGATTTTATTTCCTCATTTTATATGTTAACTGAACAATGAAGAATAGTGAGATAAACGAATAAAATACCATCAAAACCGTGCTATCAAATCAGTTGAATGAAGATGGTGTTATAACAAAAGCCGAATATTTTCAGAAATAATTAATAACTGAAAGGTGAAGTAAAACATTTAAAATCGCGAAAAATTAAGACATTAATTTTTAGGAAAATAATTAATGTTGTGACTTTTATTTCAGTAATTCTGGCACGTCAGTTTTTCGTGAACGACCCTTTTTATTTTGTAACACTGTTAATACTTAAATTTCAATTATTAAAAAATCTACCAAAAAATTTTCCATCTTATGTACTTCCACGATATTTGTCTCATGGTAATACAATTTTTTTTTTTTAAATTACGTACAATATTTATCTTACAGCAACATAATGTCATGCCCGTTGGAAACATATTTATATTATTTTTTATGTTGATATTTAACTTTTCATTTTTAATGACAGAAATGCCTATTTAAGTAGATTTTATACAGCCCACGGACTATTGGGAATTATAAAAAAAATCTTTAAAAGGAATCTTTTTAGAAACCACAAAACTCCTAACCATAGGTATGCGGTTTGAAAATAAAAATAAAACTAGCAGAAAAGTCTTCTGAAAAATGAGAACGTACAGTATTTTTGAAGTTTCGGGAAGTCTATTCCATTGCAAGCAGAAACATTCAGGTATAATAAATTAATTGTGGGATGTTTCAAAAGAACAATTTTATTTTATTTTATTTATTTATTTTGTGTGTATGTAAAGACGGTAAACAGTCGGTATAAAATGATGCTAATTGTTACAAAAAGATGAGTATTAGCTGAGTACGAGTGAATTTAGGTTGGATGTGGTTCAGGATTTTGAACTGAAAATCCCAATGATAATGTTTTAATATTATAGTAAAACCTATGAGCAATTTTAGAAACGGAATTTTTTGATGGTTACGATTTTTAAATTGGCATCCAATGTGCTATTCCTTATAAACCAAGGTATATTGACTTTTCTCTAAGGACTTTATTATTTTATAAAAAATTATTTTTTTTAGTGGCATTTATCCATAAGACATAAAGTAAAGTTAGACGGAATACTGTTTTATACAATGTCATTTTATTATGAAGAGAAAGACTACGATATTTTTCAAGAAGAGGTCAATGGAAACACTAAATTTATTTCTGAGTTTGGCAAAGTGAGGTCTAAAAGTGAGTTTGTTGTCAAGCGCGATGCCTAGATATATGACTTTTTGTTTTCAGAGTGTTATTTCTTCAGACAACGGGGGGAGTAGACGGTAAATCGAGTGACTGGCGTTTTCAAAACAGAACTGCATTTGATGGGTCGATATTAATTGATATTCCCCAGTTTGCAAGCCATGCCTCTACCAAATCAATATAATGCTGAAGCTGAATGTAAATATTTTTTTAGTGTACCAGAATCACCAGCCTGTATCAGAGCAGCTGTGTCATCAGCGAAGAGTGTTTAAGGGATTTGTTTCCGCATGCTTTCGTGGTATAATTGGAAGCGCGCTCTAAGCGTATTTAGAAGGTCCAGAGTTCGAATCCCGGTGAGGCCACTGCGGATTCCTTCAGTTTCCTGACATTGAAAAATTTTAAAGGACTCTACACGTGCTATCTGGGCGTTGAGGGATACCGTAAATATATATGTTATATAATAAGGGACTTAGAACTGAGACTTGGAGCATTCCTACATAACTGGCCGCCGCAATGAGTATGGATTTCCATTTCGGATACTAAATGATGTCATATGGAGTAAAGAGAGAATAATTCGAATCAAATTATCTGGAAAATTAAGTTTAATCAAATGAACTACAGTGTCAAACGTTTTTTTAACGTTTGACCATGCCTGCGGGCAATTTACTATCGAAGCCTTTAGTAGTTTCCTTTATTCTGAAATAGAGAAAAACCATGGGAACAATAAGGGCGACGCTATCCGCCATCACGGGTAAGTGTTGCCAACCAAATGTACGACAATTTTACCAAACAGATTTCACTGGGTTGATTTGCCCACTAAGAGACAGGAGAAAAAAAAAAAAAAAAAAAATTATCTTTTAGCATTCAGATTTGTAGTGTCTAAGTTAATCGTCCATCCGTAGTAGTATTTTTGCATTTATTGCATTTATTATACAAAAGAAAGTAATCATTTAATGACAGTTCTGTGGTCTTAATTTAATGACACTTCATAACCAGTTCTGTGGTCTTTTTGATGTTTCGTTTTCATCCAAATCTGAAGTCTTTGGCCCGAGAATTTCATCCGAAAGTTTTAAGTCGCCCTTCCATATAAAATGGTTAAACAACCTTATGTTAAACAATCCTTGATTCTTGTGGGAAGGACCCAAGCAAGGACATTTTAAGCATTGCAACTCATGTTATTTTCAGTTCCACATGAAACATTATTATTTATACCCTACAATGCAGAACCATTAGTCCGATTTCAAAGACGTCCTCAAATGGCAATCCAAACACGTAGTTGTGAGATATTCAAATGGTATATTATTTTAAATTTAAGAGCTTTTACAACTGGGGAACTTGGCGATTCATCAAGAAAAACCCGCCGGCGGTTAACATTTCAGTCGAACCATAAAAGCTATTTTTCATTTACAATAGCAGATTTTCAGTTATTTCACCATTAAACATTATCATTTTCTTACTAGACAGGAAAAAAAAACAAAATAAAAATGACATATTTGAAAAGCAAGGTGAAAGCCCTTGACCTCTTAAAAGGCAAACAAAAAGTTACTTAATCGTAATCGCAACAATTCCATCAGAAGAAGACTATAACGATGCCCTCCTGTGAAACAAAAACTTTCTCCCGCCATCGTTAGGTAGAAACTTCCATTATCGTAATATTTCGAACTGCCATTACGCACTCTATCAGTGATGCGCGAAGCAAAGCTGCATGGTCATGTCCTTAACATGCTTTCTTCTATATATCCTTAAACATTCTTTTTCATGCTTAGAACCGGTGCTACTTGCTTATTTATCTACTTACTTCGCATCGAAAGTGACTTCAAGAAAACAGATTATGATATTATTTTTTTGCATGTACATTTCACAGTATTCTCACGACCGTGATTTTAGATATAGTGATGCGGAAAGATTGCAGGGAAGACTTAACAATTTAAAATAATCTGTAATAGTATTTTGTTTAAATTTGGAAGCGAAATAATGGAATCACATGTTACGCGAAAATTGTGATTTTATTTTCGCAGTTTTTTAACACTGGTACAAGTTACAAAGCTTTTTATGTAATTTGATGGTTTAGGTAAAAAGTTAAAATAATTCACCGATTTTCGTACACACTTAATTGAAATTTAAAAGCCAGTTCTCATTAGACGGTGCACAGCGAATATGAAGCACTGGAAGGGAATTACTCACTGAAAGCTTCTAACTTCATTAAGTATAGTAGCTGCTCCTTTTTTATACATATTTTGCTTGCGCCATTTAGAATACTATTTCGTGGCCCTTTTCTTAACAGTTGAAAGGGAGTGGTCCTCTTTTCATTACGTGGAAATTACACTAAAGAATTTGCAAAAATTATGCACACAAATGAAAAATTAACTACCAATAATTTGTGAATTCCAATCCAATTTTTTCATTTTCCGCGTCTTAAAAATAGTATATATATATATTATATATTTGAATTAAACAAATATTCTCTATTCGTATAAAGCTAGTTAAAGTTAATTTAAATTTAAAAATTATGAAATTTTAATTGCATATAAATAAAAAATTAATTATTGCTCCGAACTAATTTACAATATCATTTAAATTCTGAGAGTATATGTAAATTAAGTGCAAGTACCTAAAA